AAAAAAAAAAAAAAAAAAAAAAAAAAAATCAACAACAGGAAGCCATTTATCAGATATAGTGAGAGTGTAATGATTTCCGTAAGTCCCAAACCAGAGGGGGTCAACATGCCAAATGAATGGAATCGTCGCATGAATCTTTAAACTTGAGGAAGCCGATGGATTGAACTCTAATAAAAACTGTATTGTATGTGAAATGATGTGCGAAAAGAGAGTGAATGTGCAAAATGCTCATAAATCGGCGTAAACTTCAAATATGTAAACATACATGTAAATCTGCAAGAAAAATTGCCTGTCACAAGTCAAGCGCAACATAACACGCCGATCATACAATTCAATGTAGTCATACTGATTTAAGGGCGCTATGAGAAATATAAAAATAATAAGGGGCGGTCACACTTTCCACCGCTGAACAGACTTCTTAATGTGTCGGCTTAAGCCTGGCTTCTTAGGAAACATTACTTCTAGATTATACTTGCAATATAACGGGTGATCCAATTAGAGGTACTTTTTCGATGACTCGTTCGAGAATTTCAGCTGGTAACTGTCGGAATTTTTTTTTTTGTGCTTGGCATTTCATCCTGGAAATACTAACGCCTGAACAACGTTTACAAATCATCCAACCAAAATTCACGATCCGTAAGGACTGTGTTTCGCGCTTTGCTCAACTTTTGATTAACATAATCGGCCAACTGAGCATACTATTTGCAACACCATCAACCATCTTGAGAGCCAACATTCGTTATTGGATAATTTTCGAACGAATAGACGAATAAAGCACGCAGGAAGAAAATATAGCAACCGTAGCTGAGAGGGTACAAGAAGAACCCGTAGAGTCGATTCGGCGTCATTCTTAATTTAAATGCGTACAAAATGCTCTTGCATAAGAATTGAGCCGCTCAACCTTCCCAAGCGACATCGCTTCGCTCGATGGGCGCTTGAAAAGTTCCAAGAAGATCCGACGTTTTCGTGCCAAATTGCCGCATTTGGTATGCGGAGCAGCCTGAAGAAATTCAAGAGCTGTCATTTCATCCAGAAAAAAACAACGGTTTGGTGTAGTTGGTGGGCTGGTGGAATCATCAGTTATCGCGCCGTAATAATCGACTATTTGATGCCTGAGATTGAAGCCCGTGATATCAACGACATTTGGTTTCGACAAGCGCCACTTCTCACACATCGCATCAATTAATGAATTTATTGAGACAACATTTCGGTGAACAGATAATTTCATGTTATTGACCGGTTCATTGATCGTGTGATATCTCACCGTTAGACTTTTTCCTGTGGGGATTTGTAAAGTCTAAAGCCTATGCGGACAATATAGCTTTGATTCAGGTGAAATGCTCGAACGAGTCATCGAAAATTGTACTCAACAGAACGACCATCTGAGACGTGTTCTTTCGAATGATAATAAATATCCCCCATTAAAGGACGTAGGGGTCTCGAAGTGGAGCATCCTCTATCTTAAATTATTTACTATCAAAACCTATAAGATATCGTATCTAAGTTTTTTACAAATTTAACATTGCTTGGCCGAATGTAAAGTTTGATTTTCATTTTGTCAGCAAGCAGTTTTGCGGCATTTGTCTCTGTGTCAAATTTCATACAAATTTCCTTCCAAAATTCGAAGTCTTTCTAACTCAAAGTTTGTTTGTGGATTAAGTGCTTCGAGTTAGAGAAGTTCAGTTGTAAGTCTATTAGACTAGTGAAATAAATATTTCTAAGACGTCTTACTTTTTAGATAGAATTCAAGAACTGTATCTTTAACTTTTTCGCTGTTATCGACATTAACAGAGGCGGATGGACGGCTCCCATGCGACAAGTTTTCGATGACTACATGATAAACTTTTGAAAAAAAAAAAAAAATAATAATAATTATTCGTTTTGCCAGCGCAGTTGAAATGAGTCAAATTTGTTCAGTTGATAATAAAATTATTTTTTCATATAATTTTTTGATATATAATTTTTGTATCTTAAAATTTAATATAATTGAATAAAACGCTTAAAAAATAACTAAGGATGTGCTAATTTCGGGTGTAAGCGATTATTTATACTCTTGCAACTTGCAAATCAAAGCCAAAGTTATTCATAAGGCTTGTTGGTTGAATGGCTGACGAAATTATTGTTCTACTATTATTATTTCTGTAATATATCCCAAAGGTCGACCGATGTTTTCTATAAAAAGTTCCCAAATAGAAAATATCCGGGATTTGGGGAATTGAATATTGCGTACTTGGTCCCAGGGGAAGTACGCCTGGTTGTAGTCCGATTTCGTAGGTTTTAGATATGGCTTTTAGTCGAAATGTGGGAGGTGCCACGCCCATCCTACATTTTTGACCCCGACTCCGAGCTTCTTGTATTAGTCCAGGTATAAAATTTAATGCCTCTGGAGTATTCATTTATTAATGACGGACAGAGATACAGTCACTCGGATTTCAACTGGTCTCATCATTGGTCATTTATATATAACTGGATTATACTTGTATTTTGGTGATACAAACAACTACTATAGTCTGCAGCAACTACTTGCTAGATTACACAAATTATTTTATTATATTAAAAGAAGTATTAATTTAATAGGAATTGGCGCAAAAGCATAACAAAAGCAATAGCAAAATACATACTTATAATCAGTTGTATGTATGTTTGTATGAAAACAGTTCAAGGGGCAATAACCTGTCAGCTGTCAATGTGTTAATAGGTCTTGCAATGCTGCCTGAGTTTAAGTGAACACAAAATCGCTTTCAACAACATTGGCTCATAAATGCGAAACATACATACAAACATACATACATACATGCATAGAAATGTAAGACGCGGTCTGTAAGTGTGTCTAATGATTAGCCGCATAACCGACTGATCAACCGCTCCACTGATTATTATAGCGACATGTGTGTGTTGTGTGGCGGCGATAAATCGCAGCAAAGTAAAAATTCAAATAAAAACGAAAAGGAAATGCTGTTAAGTCCGTTTGCTGCCTTTTTTCATTTATTACATAAGAGATGGAAAGATGTAACCATGCAGCGTTATTGTTGCTGTTGTTGTAGAAGCTAACGCCTTTCATAAGCACAAGCAAATTCGAATTTGTTAATCAATTTTTTTTTTTTACTAAAAAAGTTGTTTTTGAAGTTGAAATAAAATGCATTTTGAGAGTGTGTGTGTGTGATATGCAGATTGTGTGGTTTATGCTCTGACATTGCTGTTTGTTTTTGTTGTTTCATTGTCATTTGTTGCCGTTCAGGCTGATTAAAGCTATTTGGAAATAATTGTTGGGGCACACGCTGTTGTGTGTTTTGGGACACACTGACACCGGAGATACCAGATATGATACACTCTGGTCAAAAAGTATACGGATTTTAACATATGTTGGATATGTTAAGTTGTGTGTACCAAATTTTAGTGTTAATTATATATTAAGTGTTAAGTATAAGGTATTAAGTATTAAGGCTGGAGTCGGCCGAATATCAGCTGTAAAAAAAAAAAAAAAAAAAAAAAAAAAAAAAAAATAATAATAATAAATTATTTAGGTATGGTAGGTATAAGGTATTAAGTATTAAGGCTGGAGTCTATTATTATTTAATTTAATTTAATTTATTATTATTATTATTGAGGAAAAAAAAAGGCCAATTCAAATATCCCTGGCTTAACATGGAAAACACATTTCGCTTTCTTTATTCTACATTTTTTTCTTGCCTGATTAAAGCCATCCTCCAACTTTTCGTTACCATTTTGGTAGTACGATTTGTCCTTTGCTTCGTAATAGGCCTCAGTTTCGGTGTTCACCTCTTCACTCGATGAACATTTCTTCTCAGCCACGATTTTTTTTTAGATCTGGGTACAGAAAATAGTCGCCAAGGGTCTGATCTGGAGAATGCGGAGGATGTGGAAGCAATTCTTTCCATGCGAATCTCAAAATACAGACGCTATAGTCTTGCTAGCCGACTGTTCGTTTTTCCACGTTTTGGAACGGATTCATCACATGCAGTCCACTTGGATGATTGCGTTTGGATTTCGGAGTGGAATGATAGAGCCATACTTTATCTATTGTCACATATCAAACAAAAACTCGGATTTATTATGCTTGAACATCTCCTAACATTGCTCCGAATCATAAACTCGTCGTTGTTTTTGGTCAAAAGTAACACCCACTTTGATATGACATACACGTATACGTTCAGTTGATATCTTTATAGTGCCTCCTCCAAAAACTTTGCTTTACGGTCATCCAAAGCTAGTTTGTGGACTTCATAGAACATCAAGTTCTCGTCGATAACAACCTCTTTTGGACGTCCAGGTCGTGCACTGACTTCGGTGCTTATTTCACCACGTCTAAATTTTGCATACCATTCATTGATGGTTGATTGTTCTGATGCAGTGTCCGGAAACTCGTCATCAAGCGAGGTTTTTTCTACAAACAGTTTATTCCGTTTATTCCGTTCTTCAGTTTGTTATTTGTTCAGCTATTTGCTATATTGGTGGATCCATATCGGTCGTTCCTTCTTGGTGAAAAAAGGACGGCTGCAGAATTTAGATCGTTATCTCCCTGGTTCGTATTTTTACAGACAGACGGATGGACAGAGAGACGGACATGGCTATATCGGCTCAGCTCGTCACACTGCTTTATAGGGTCTGCAATATTGTAAAGAGCTGCATCATAGGCTTTACGACAAAATATGTGGTCATCAAGATAAGATCAGGGCAAGTGTTCATTGAAAATAGATTAGTAGCAGTCATTCAAGTGAAGCTCTCATGGCAGAGGATTTTATGGAACTCGAGTTAGCTTAGAATTTACGAAGCTTTCAGTATTCTTGAACTTACAAAGCTTTCTGTATTCTTGAACTTACTAAGCTTTCATTATTGTTGAAAATTTTTTGAAAACTCTGTTCCACGGCTCTTCAAATCTTAAATGAAGTAACGAAACTCGAGTACTAATTTTACTAAATTATAATGAAAATGAACGTAATTAAAAATAACGCTCTGGTTACTTGAGGCTTAATACATCCACTTTTTTTTTTGAAAATTTGAAAGAAACTTTCAAATAATTTTATTTACATACACACATTCAAATGCATTTCCCACGCCAGTCTCAACATTTTTTCCAACTCATTGGTGACTTGGATTAATATTTCAAGCTCTTAGCAGCATCTTCAACTCAACTTCATCAACAACGCGCCGGGCATTTCCTCTTTCGACAAAATTTCATAATGCAAACACACACACACCTGGTTCCAAATTAATCCACGCGATGCTGTTGAAATACGCTCACCACTTGCACCTTCGTAAACGACATTAGCGACGATGGTTTGAACCAGTTTCGGCCGAATTTGGCGTCGCAGAGTTCAACCAAAGACGAAAAGACGCCGAAGAGGCCAATGTAAAGGTAGCAGCAGCTGCAGCAGTGGAAGAGGGAGCAAAAACGAAGCAAAACAAATCAAAGTGATAAAGAGCTGCGTTGCTTAGCCGGCAAAAATGTTGTTGCTTTCCACACAGTTAAACATAATCGTTTTTCTTTCGGTCACCAGCAAGCGCCGCCGCCGTCCGTGTATATCATTGCCTGTTTATTAAGCAAAATTATTGTAAATTGCGGGATGAGTGCAACAAACACACGATTTTCTTTTGTTTTCTTTTCTTCTGGCTACTTTTTCTGCAGCGCCGTTGGCTTTGGAGAGCGCGGCTAAGCTGGCTAAGCGCAGCGCTCCACGACATCGCACATTCATGGTATATATAGTTGGTGGATGACACTGGAAAGTCATCAGTTACACAGTTCTCTTCACAACTGGTGTTTGGTTAACCTCGTCTACTAACTTACACGTAGCAAAATCTAAACACAAACTACAACAAAATGAAGGTACGGACCGCTGAAGCTTACATCCTTCTGGGAGTATGCTGACACTAAAGGATTACAATTTACTTACTTTGTTTTTTTGCGTTGCAGGTTTTCGTTTGCATCTTAGCTGTGGTGGCCACAGCCCAAGCAGGTTTTCTGGGCCTTGGCGGCGGTAGCGGTGGCGGCGGCGGCGGCTACTCTTATGGTGGAGGTGACGGCGGTCACGGTGGACATGGTGGTTTTGATGGCGGCTACGGTGGCGGTCACGGAGGTCACGGCGGTGGCGGCGGCGAAGTGAAAATCATCAAGATCATTAGCGACGGCGGAGATGGTGGTCATGGCGGACATGGTGGACACGGTGGCTTCGATGGCGGCTACGGTGGCGGTCATGGCGGACATGGTGGTCATGGCGGTCACGGTGATGGCGGCTTCAATGGTGGATTCGGAACCAGCGGTGAATTGAAAATCGTGAAAGTCATCAGCGGAGGCGGCGGCGGCGGCGGCGGTCATGGAGGTCATGGTGGATACAGCGGCGGTGGTGGTCATGGCGGTCACGGCGGATACAGCGGCGGTGGCGGTCATGGCGGACACGGTGGCGATATTAAAATCATCAAGGTCGTGCATGAGGAAGGCGGCGCTGGTGGCTTCGATGGCGGTTACGGTGGCGGTCATGGCGGTCATGGTGGTTTCGATGGCGGCTACGGCGGCGGTCATGGCGGTCATGGTGATCACGGTGCTGGCGGTGAAGTCAAAATCATCAAGGTCATCAGTGAAGGCGGCGCTGGCGGTTATGGCGGTGATGCCGGCGGTTATGGCGGCGGTGCTGGCGGTTGGGCTGCTGGTGGTGGTGGCGGTTGGGCTGCCGGTGGCGGTGGCTGGGACTAAGCACCTCAGATGCCATAACGCACTTGTACATATTGTACTATACGCTAGCAGCGCAATGCCTCCTTCCTAACTAAGTAAAACAACAAGCAGCCCACGCAGCCATTCGCCAATGACTGAGACTGAATGATTATTATGTCATGGTTGCGCACTGCTACCTTGTACATAAACCACTCTTTCCACTCCATGCTTACCGCGCTGCAACACTTCTCCTATCCTCTCCTACACACACACACACGCACGTCAAACGTGTGCGCGCTTACATCCATATGCTGTGCCGTTAGATGCGTGTGAAGTGCCATTCTTCGCCAGTTCATAAGCATTCTCCACATGCCTACTCGTATTGTGATATACAAACATACCTATCTACCTGCATGCTCACATCCCTCTTAGCTGTCTAAGTGTAAATGTTGAACCACATTTTTGTTGTAATGTGCCTATTGAGCAACAACGTGAGTTCGTAGACGTTGTTAATGTTGTTATTGTTTTTATTGTTACCAAAATATAACAAGTTGAAAAAAAAAATAAAAAAAAATAAAAATTAAAAAAAAAATGTATGTGTTATCATTCATTATCTCATTATGCCCCCCCCCTAACGCTTTGGTGGTGGCGCGCAGTCGCGGAAGTTTCTTTAGTTTGCTTTCAATGCTTCTGAAATCGGCATAGTCATAAATAAAAGCCATTTGTAAGTCACTTTTATCGTTGAAATCTAATTTGCGTTTTGGGGCCAATTGGACCTTTCACTTTTTATGAAAAATTTCGGCGAAAGAGGAAGCAAAACCCGTTAGCCGTTATTATGTCATGGATTTTTGACACAGCTGTGCAGATATGCGATTGAGACGTACGCCGCTCCCATATTTGCACACATAAACACATGCTTCCGGCGTCTAATTCGAGAGCTTTCACATAAATAGAAAATTTAATCAAACTCAAAAAAGAACTGTGCAACAAAATATGCATTTTTTGGGACTGAGCTAAAATAAAGTGTCCGAAAAGTTTTACATTGTACATTATATACCTTGATAACTAGGGAAATATACGATGAGAAGCGGTATAAACGCGATAGGGGGTCTGGAAGGATGCACGTCAAGTCGTCGTCAGTATCCAGTAACAGTACTTTTTCACTCAATCCTCTCTCTTCTAACAAAATTTTAGTAGGATTTCTAATACCCTGAGCGATTAAATTCCATATATAGAAGCAAATTTGGCTTCGTTGATTATGTTCCGGTATGTTTGAAATCAGATTTTGAGGATGCAGCCATGTGTAGAAACTCATGCAAGTGAAGAAAGTTCTCTGAGTGGCCGGAAACGATTCTTGTACACATGGCTCGAGTAGCTCACAATTTCTGGTTTTAGAACTATACTCTTGGAAGCCAAAAAAATCCGTTTGAAGGCGAGCAAAAGTTGGAAGACGAAGCATCCCTCACTGCACTGTGAATTTGCGACCCGCAAATGTGTTAAAGATTGCGATGTAAGGGCATGCACCTGAAATGTCAGTCTCTTAATTGGGAAAATGCCACTGCCCAGCTGGTGGATGACATTACCGCCGCGAACTGCAGCAACTGGGACCTTATGGCATTTACTACACTGGTCATATAAATGAGCGCAAGTTTAGTGTGGGATTCGTGGTGGGCGAGAGACTCCGTCGCCGTGTAGAGGAATTTACCCCGGTGGATGAACGTCTAGCCATAATCCACATCAAAGCGAAGTTCTTCAACATATCGCTGATTTGCGCCCATGCCTCGACGTATGAGAAGGAAGATGTGACCGAAAGTACCTTCTATGAGCGCTTGTAGCGCACACACAACAAACACAAGGAATGTTCGACGTCAAGAAGATGCAATCACAACAGATAGCCGAACGAGCTTCTACTCGACTTGCGCACTCAAATACAGGGTCCGGCATTGGAAGTGTAACAAACTTCAGACCGCACTGGAATCACCTGTTTATAAATTTGCTGAATGACAGCTTGACGTATTGTTCACAAGTGTACAAAAGCGTTTTGCCAAAAGTGAACGCAAAAAAAGTGATCAGCGATAGAATTCAAACGTAATAGTGTGATTGCTTTATGTAATATTTGGCAGAAAAATAACAGCCAGCAATTGTTCGTAAGTTCAAACAATGATACTGGTAGCATCGCAAAACGACGAAATGGAGCTAGCCATCAAAAGACTGCAACGTCACGTGAGATGGTTCGGAAAGTGAAGAAGAGACTTGAGCGGAATCTACGACGATGTGTCAATCAAATGGCTAAAGAACTGAAAATATCCGACCGCAGCATCCGACGCATATTGAAAAATAAGCTCAAGGTCAAGCCTTACAAGTTCCAAAAGGCCCATTAACTCACACCGAAGCAGCAAGATGTAAGACTTGAGAGCGATCAAAAGCGGTAAAATTCCGAACATTGTGCTTTCGGACGAAAAAATTTTTCCAATTGAGCAATTCGTAAACTCTCAAAACGATGGGGTTTACTTGATCGACCGTTCATACGAGAATCTAAGTCGTCGGTTGGCCACCAGGAGGCAGCACCCGCCACAAATAATGGTTTGGGTCGCTGTCACCGCAGATGGGCGCTCTCCAATTGTTTTCATCGAGCCTGGCGTCAAAGTAAATGCGACATATTATCGGGAAAGTGTTCTGGAGGCTGCTTTGAAGCCGTGGGCAAACAAACATTTCGGTCGCAAACCATGGACGTTTCAATAAGACTCAGCCCTTCTCACAAAGCGCGAGTGAACCAAGAATGGCTGAAAAACAACGTTCCGAACTTCATCACGACCACGCAATGGCTTTCGAATTCACCAGATGCGAATCCAATGAATTATTCTCTCTGGGCCATTTTGGAGAGCAATTTCCGAAGTAAAAAATACACCAGTCTCGAAATGCTGCAGAAAGCCATTGTCCGTGAGTGGGTCAAAATACCGGCAAGTTACATTCGAGCAGCTTGCGATTCGTTTATTGACCTTCTCAAGGCCATAATTAAGGCAAAAGATGGTCATATCGAGCAAAATTGAATTGGCCCTTAGTTTATGATACTTTTTTATGTTATTTTCACACATTTTGTACTTTAAAATTTATAAAAATAATTTTCCAAACCGAATTTATGGCTTTTTTAATTGTTTACAATGGTATTCCATGCAGACAGCTTGGCAGGTCGGAATTAATTCCGAGTGCACCACACCTCGATAATCGAAGAAAACTGTCAACATTGATTTTTGATCTGTTTTGCGAAAAGATATTGGTCTAAATTCTTACCAACACAAATTGACGCAAGCCGCTTTACCACCAGAATCGTCGAATGTTCGTGAATTGGGCTGAGCAAGAACTTGAAAATGATCCGGATTTTCTTCGAAAAATCATCTTCAGGATGGTGAGGCTTACTTCTGGCTGAATGGCTTCGTCAATAAGCAAAACATGCCTTATTGGTCAGGCAGTCCACACGTACTCCATAAATCACCATTGCATCGAGCGGACGAGCGGCGTCGTTGAGCCGTACATCTTCTGTGATGATCAAGACCGGCACGTTACTGTGAATAGGAATCGCTACCGCACAATGATAACCGAATATTTTTGACCCGAATTGGATGATGTGGACTTGGGACAACATGTGGTTGCAATAGGACGGCGCCACAAGCCTCAACTTATCTCACGAAAGGGTCCAGTATATTGGCCTCTTCGGTCGAGCGATTTGACACCGTTATGCTATTTTCTGTGGCGCTATGTCAAGTGTATGGTCTATGCCAACAAGCTAGCGATGATTGATGAATTTCGTACTAATATCGAACATGAAATTGCAGCAGTATCGACCGATTTATGCTTGAAAACCGTCGAAAATTGAAAGAAACCGATTTTCGTACATAATGACGTCGGAATAAAGAATTTCAATGATATCCCAAACCATTTTTCTTTTATTTAAAAAATTTGTGTAGCGCTCTTATTGAAAAACCCTTTATATAGAATTTTTTTATGCACATGTATGTAAGTGCGTCTATATTAAATAATAAATTGTATTGAAACATGTTTGTTTTAGGTAATGGCGACTGCTAGTCTTTAATAAAGCCGGGACATAATTGTGGCAAAATGTTAAAATAGCATAAGTCGACATAAGGTAGTAAGCTATAAATCTATTTTTGGTGTAGATCAGTGCACGCCCTTTCCTATACTTTGGTCTAACCTGGTAGTTACAATTCTAAGTTATCTTAACGATTTAATAAGCAACAAGGAGCCTTACAATTACTTTATAGCTCCCAATTACCTTACATCGACTTATGTCACTTTAAATTTTTGACACATATGTTTTCTTGTTTGTTTACCTTAGTTTGCTTCTGCTATTGTGGCTTGTGAAGTAGCAAAGGTGACAGTCATCCAGCAGTCAATCCGGCTCATTATGTTTATGTAATTTATAGTCCAATTTATGCAAGAAATTCTTGTTCCAGGCGCATGGAAAGATAGTGTTTTTATTTAGCTTTTGGATCGCTCATAATAATGTCTGCAGAAACATGGTGTTCTGAGCAGATAATACGAACGATTGGTTTATTGTGTTATGCCAATTCAAACAAAAATATATATTTACAGCATTAAAGTTCTTTTTGCATTTAATTACCTTCTAAAAGAAGTTAAAGCGATTGTCTCGCTGAGATCACGAAATGAACTTAAAGGGAACCAAAATACACGGTTTGTCTGGAAAGTAATAGCACTGAGTTGATTTAAAAAAATTATTGAATAAATCGTTCCTTTCGTCGACCTTTTCTTACGCCTGACCAACGTTTACAAATCGTTCAACTTTATTACGAAAATTTACGTTCTTTAAAAAAATTGTTTCGCGCGCTTCGCTCAACTTATGGTCACTTATGGTCACTTGTGGTCAACATAATCGGTCTACTCAGCGTACTATTTGCAAGACCCACCTCACCCATCTAGAGACCCAGCATTCATTATATGAAATGACCTGGCCCATTTCCCATCGGGATCTGAAATTTAAAGCGTAAAAAATATTGCTGTGCAATAGCTGAAGCCGCTCGACCTTTACAAGCGACATCGCTTCGCTCTATGGGCTCTTGAAAAGTTCCAAGCAGATTTAACGCTTTGGAGCGGAGCATAATTTTTTTTTTTAGCTATGTGGCCTATTTCTGGCTTTATGTGTGGGTCAACAAGCCGCATTTGGGACGAAAAGCCACCTGAAGAGATTCAAGAGCTTGATAAGCCATAATAATCGACTATCTGATGCTTGAAATTGAAGCCGTGTTCTCGGCGACATTTGGTTTCAGCAAGACGGCACTCAATCAATGGATTTATTGAGAGAACGCTTCGGTGAGCAGAATATTTTCGTCCGTTAGACTTCTTTCAGTGGGGATATGCAAAGTCTAAACACTATGTGGACAATCCCGCTTCGATTCAGGCCTTGTAGCAAAACATCACGCGTGTCATTCGCTAGCTAATAGTCCAAATGATCGAACTAGTCATCGAAAATTACACTAAATGAATGGTCCATCTGAGACGAAGCCGCGGCCATCATTTGAAAGAGACAATCTTCAAAGAATAATTGCCGAAGTTTTTTGTTTTTTCAAATTTTTTCATCTATACAAGTTATTCGAATACTTGTTCGTCTCTCCTTATAATACCGCATGCCCGAAAATATACCGGTAGCACAGGTACAAAATGACCGAATGCAAAGCTATTTTTATCTTTTCAATGCTTTTTATTTTTTCGGACAAGTACGACTAATGAATTCAGGTGTACGAATCTTCAGCAAGTTTATGGGTGTTTTCTTCTAAGCTAGATGTGTTTGTATGTACTAATCAAAATTCATATAGCCGAAATTAAAATAAAATAATTCTTTTGCAGCTTTTCGCTTGTCTTCTTCTATGTGATTTGATGTATAAAAAAAAAAAAAAAATTGTCCAACAACAAAGAAAGTCAAGAGTCACCCTGAAGCTACGATACTCTGAAGATCGTTCTATTGTAGTATTAGCTTATAAGCAAGCGGTCTTTTATTTCTAGTTTTATTGTTATTATTATTCTTTTTTTTTAAATCACATGTTAGTCCAGTCTTAAGATCTTTCCATCGCAAGTCACGACGGTTTATAAAACGATGAGTTTCGTCGCGCACGGACATTAGTGTGCAAAATTCGTTCTTAGCGGTGTGTTTTGTCGACAACAAAATGAAAGTGAGTTCAGCAGGCGACGAGAGGATTGAATGGAAGACTACAAATATATCTGAATTTTACATTTTAGGTTTTTGTGTGCCTATTGGCACTTTCTGCCCTAACGGCATCAACCAATGCAGGATTTCTTGGATTATTAGGCGGACTTAAAGGCGGAGTCGGCGGTGGCGGTGGCGGCTACGGAGGTGGTGGCTACAGCGGGGGTGGCGGCTACGGAGGTGGTGGCTACGGCGGTGGCGGCTACGGCGGTGGCAGCGGTTCCAACGTACAAGTCATTAAAGTTATAGCCTCCGGTGGTAGCGGAGGTGGTTACGGTGGTGGCGGCGGCTACGGCGGCGGTGGCTACAGCGGTGGTGGTTGGAGTGGAGGTCATTCCGGCGGCTACAGCGGAGGTGGTGGATACGGCGGTGGTGGTGGCTATGGCGGCGGTAGTCATTCCGGCGGTGGTGTCCAAGTCATTAAAGTAATCGCAGCAGGCGGTCATGGCGGCGGCGGCTACAGTGGTGGCGGTGGATACAGCGGCGGTGGCGGTTATGGCGGCGGCGGCTACGGCGGTGGTGGCCATTCCGGCGGCTACAGCGGAGGCGGCGGCTACGGCGGCGGTGGTCATTCCGGAGGCCATGTCGATGTCTACAAAGTTATATCGGTAGGAAGTTCCGGCGGCGGTGGTGGTTACGGAGGTGGCGGCTATGGCGGCGGCGGTTATGGAGGTGGCGGCTATGGTGGCGGCGGCTGGTCTGGTAGTAGTGGCAGTAGCGGAGGCTGGGGCGGTTGGGATAGAAAGAAGTAAGTAAGCTGCCGCTCAGCAACAACTACAAATTAAGTTTCCTGCAAACCGTTAAGTGATTTTCTGAATCAAAATGATTTGATGCACTGCCATTATTTAAGTGCTTCGAAGGTCAAGGTCGAAGCGCTGAGAATATTTAATGTACAATTTTTTTTAAATGAAAAAAGAGTGATAACGAATTATAGTATAGAGTGTAAAAGAATGAAAGAGACAAAACAATAAATAAAAAATAAAAAATAATATAAAGTTGTGTTTAAATTTCTTGCACCGCAAGTATTATATAATGAACAAGTATCCATCCAAAATCGTGCTTATGCATTTAAAGGCACGGAAATCAAAATTTGAAATTGCGAATCGCTAATTGTACGGAAATTCCCGCTTCTCAATCAAGGTCAGCCTTAGCAACAACTAATTGAGCAAATGAAACAAGTCAGACAACTCAAATAAAAGTAATTTTAAGTCAAAATAATGACTAAATAATACCTCTTTGCTTAAGCTCATAGCAACTGTACTTTCCCAATGGAAAATTATGAGCAAATTGTGAGAAATCATTGAACTAACCTTAAATTAGTCAATTAGCAACTCATTGCTATACAACTTAGTGAGACAATTTGCTAATTGACTAAATTGCCAGGCTGCATGAAACGTCTCTTAGTCCATACTGCATTGAAAGTACTGAAGAATAGTGGGATCAATTTTTTGCTATTAATTAGAAACCTGTGTCATATGCATACCTTTTCTGGCATTTTGTTCACGATATTCCCCTTTTCGGTCTCTTAGTCGAAGTGAAATCTTTAAGCTACCAATTAGTCGCCAGCAATTTTGCTAATAAATTCACTTTGAAACTTGTTAGACAAAAACGAAGCTATGGCAAATAATTTATTCAAATAAAATTAATAAAAAATAATAATCAAATTCAAATTAAAACAAAGAAAATTAAAATTAGCATTTTGAAAGCGAAGAAGATATAATACTTATGAGCAATACCTTCGCTAATTTGAGGAAGACAGCGCTTAAAGACCAAGGCTTCGCAATACAAATTAACAAATATATGGAATTTCTTAATAATATTAACGTTACAGTGTCTTATTTTTGGATAAAAAGTATAAGGTAGGTAATAATCAGAGTTTGTCGTGAATTTAGACCGATTTCATTCCACTTCTTTATAGGTGCATACACCGCTTAAGCGGTTATAGCCGAGTTTACAACAGCGTGTCAGACATTCTTCTTTTTCACTGTTTGGCGCCAATTGGAGATTCCAAGTGTAGCCAAAACTTTCTCTCCTTGGTCTTGGCTTCTTGGCAGAGCTGGAGTATTTTCATCCCTTCGGACGACATGACCTAGTGAAGCCACTGTCGTCGTATATCTTGTACAGCTCATCGTTCCATCGACTGTGGCATTCGCCGTTGCTAATGCGAAAAGACAATAAATCTTCCGCTTTTCTCTAAACTCGTAACGTCGAGCCATCACATGCTGTCATCGTCTATACTTTTGACTTGTGGAATTTCTGCTTTGGATTTTAAGGCTGGCATTGTTGACTTCGAAGTTATGACTGTCAACAGTGACGTGTGAGTCGAATCGTGAATGCGATGACTGTTTATTTGATGACAAGTTCACTACCAGACCCGTTTGCTTCGCTGGAGAAGTGTTCGCTCCATAATTTTAACATGTTCTGGGCATCGGTTACTAAATCATCTCTGATTCTTAGAAATTTCGAGCATTGCGCCTGTCGGCCAGCTTGTCAAGGTCTTTGTACTCTCGTAATTCAGCCTTTCTCTTTTTTTTTTCTGCAAATGCGTCTTGTTAACGTCTTCAACTCTCGGTTTCTATCCCATCTCACACGTGTTGTGATCTATTGCCGAGTAGGCAGTCTGTTTTCTCTTCACTGCGCCACGTCACCTTTCATCGTAACAGCTATTCTTTTGCAATTTAAGGAAACCAATGGTTTCGTTTGCAGTTGTACGTAAGGAGTGTGAAATGTCGTACCACAGTTCCCTTATACCGAGTTGCTGAGACCGATTTCATTAATAATTTAGGTATAAGCCTGTAACCACAAAAGCATAAAAGTTCCACTTTTATATTTTCAAAAGTATATACTTGTGAGACACTCAAAACGCACACTGTACAACATATCGCTAGGCGTGAGGGAGAGGACAAAAGCCGCAGAAGATTTCATTTAAATATTGGCAAAAAATCGAGCAAGCATTAATAATTGCTTATTTTATTTTGAAAAAATTTTGAAAAAATAAAATAAATAAAGCTCCAAGCGATGAATATATATTATGGCCTCCATGGTATAAATGAATAACTATGAGGTCGATTTCATATTCAATTTTCGATTGTTCAAAGAAAAGAAAACGGCACGCTTTTAAAGAAGCAAAGGAAAGCTAATAGGGAAATAAAAGAATAAACATTGCATAATGTCATACAAATTTAGCGCTAATAAAACAATGAAACTTTTGGCAAAGACGCTTTTAAATGACACGAAAATGATCCAAAATTATTCAAAGGAAATAGGGTCTATACAAAAATTAAGCGCGAGCAACTTGGCGACACCGTTAGTAGTGAAAAGTTTCTTTTTAATGAAGTTCTTTTAATGAAAAGAAAATTTAGTTCTCTCCGAGATCTAACTCGGCCCGACGTATTGAACGACTTGGCACATTTTATGTCGAGATCTTTAATTGAAAGCGTACAAAATACAGTTTGCGCAAGAACTGAAACCGCTCGAACTTCCCAAGCGACTTCGCTTCACTCTATGGACTCTTGAAAACTTCCAAGAAGATCCTGCGTTTTTGAGCCAAATTTAGTTCAGCGATGAGGCCCATTTCTAGCTCAATGGGTATGAAAACAAAAAAATTGCCATTTTTGGGACGAAGAGCAATCTGCAGAGATTCAAGAGCTACCATTGCATAAAACAACGGCTTGATGGAATCATCGGTCCAAAATGATACTAGTTAGAACGTAACCGTTCATGTCGACCGTTATCACGCTCGTGATCTCGTCGACATTTGGTTTCAACAAGACGGCGAGATTGAGAGAAGACTACGGTGGGCAGATAATTTTATGTTTTGTGCCGATCGATTGGCCACCAAGATCGTACACCGTTAGACTTTTTCCGGTACGGATATGGAAAATTTGAAGTCTGTGCGGACAATTCCGCTTCGATTCAGGCTTTGGAGCAGTTAACACGAACGAAAATTGGATTCAATGGATATACCATCTAAGATGTAGCTGCGGCCAACATTTGAAAGAGATAATCCTCAAAAAGTAAATGCCAAAGAATATTCTTTAGAATCGCAATAAACTGTCCCCGTCAAATTAGAAGTTTCTGTGTTTATAACTTTGAAAAAACACGGAACCTCGTAATGGATCACCCTTTATTTTTACTCTTGAGCATGTCTAAATAGCTTTTGGTGAGAAATCTGTACCAAACCTGGCTAATTTCGACTTTCCAAATGTAACCGGACTTCAAAATCTGCAGATTAAATGAAGAGCTGCCGGCTAATAAGGCCTTTAACAAACATTTCGTCCTTAAAGCCGAATGAAGTGAATGGGAAATATGCAGCAAACTCCAATTGCATATCGAATGAGATTAATAAAGTCAATTATAAAATTACTGTAGCTTAATTAGTTAGGCTAACAATGTCTTACGCCAGCTGAGCGAAGAAAAACGTGTGATAAAGTCATCACGGTTCATACAAGTATAAACACAAAATTGATCGACTAATAAATGTTACAAAATCACTTAGCCTACTAATTTATACAAAAATTTACATTCGTGCCTAAAGTTAAAGATGTTAAAAGTCGGTAAATTAAAGCACACTAATTAGTCAAACGAAATGCCCAAAAACTAATTTGGCGCACGCAAAGCGGCACAAAGCAAAAAAGTCGTGCCTACTTGAAATTTCCAATACTTTTTGAATATGTACAAGTATGAGGGAAAGGTGCAGGTATATTACCGCTAGTGCGTACTTATGTATTTATGTAGCAGAAAGCAGAGAGAAATGTGAAGCAAAATAATGCAACATCGCATGTCAAGTTCAGATTACCACATCATCAATGTACGACACCACACAACTGTGCTTTCGGCAGATGCTTCTGCTCTTGATAGCTGTCGCTGAGAGTACCAGAGAAAAGTTTTGTTCACCTAACGATTGCATATGAGAATGGTATGTTGTTATAGTCAACAGGATGATTAGGCGAATCGATATATGTAACATTGCATTTCATCATTTCATACCACACAGCGATAATGACCGAAATCTGATCTCACGCCCCTAACTCTTATTAAATGCAACTCCTTTGACGCAAGATAGATTCTTTGTGATCTCAAAAAACTCTGAAGACCTTCTTAATTCATCACAAGCAATTAACGATTCTATTTCAGCTAGTCACAGAGATGGTTGAAACTATAAGATCCCAGATGTTGGAACCTTAATCGCGCTAAAACTGGTTAGACGAGAGAAAAATATCTATTATTGAGATTATATCATTCGGCAAGATTTGGGAAGACTCACCGCATGGACATCCATTGGCCAGTGCCAGATCAGTCCTACTACTAGTCGAAAGAAACTTGACTAAATGCGAGGAACTCACTGGATCATAAGTGACTAACATTGGGATGAACTTACTGACTTGAATTCTGGTCAGCTCGAATTCGGCCCATTTAAACAAAATCATCTTCAGGTATTTTTAACATGCTTACTAGCAATATATGGACTTACAGGAATCAAGAATTGCTGAGAGTTCTGATAAGCAGTTGAGTGTTTTGATACACTTTCTGTGGCAACTCTTATCCAAAATTAATAGAATTCATGCCAACTTGAAAGTTTTGATACATCTTCTGTCGCAACTCTGATCTAAGATGGACGGGCTTCATACCAAGTTCAGAGTTTTGATACATTTTCTGTGCTATCTCTGATCCGAGATAGACGGAGATAACTTCCTTTATATCTCACATTCTGAATCTCCGTCTTGCCGACTGATTGTTAACTGTTTTGATATCTGTAGCAAACCTTATCCACGATGGATGGAATTCATGCCAAGTTGAGAGTTTTGATACATTTTTTGTGGCAACTCTGATCCGAGATAGATGGACTTCGTGCCATAACTTCCTTTATATCTCACATACAGATGTCGAAACTGGTCCTTCCGGCTGATTCTATACTGTATTGCGAGAGTAGCTAATATCTGGCTGCGTTCGCTCTTAAGCTCTCCTTACTTCTTCTTTGTATATTTTGTTCAGACGGCACATAATAGTTTGCTAAAGACCCACGCGCTAAAGAAATGACTATGATGAGATCGTTTTGTGGTAAATCCCCAAAATTTGAATAAATAGTGAGCAAAGCAAAATGAGAAGAGAAAAAAAACAGTTAATTAAAAAAAAAAAAAAAATCAACGAACAATAATGATTTCGGTTACGAAAGGAAAGAAGCAAAACAGAAAGCGTATGTAGACACCATGGACCGCCCGTTTAATAATTATGATGTTTAATGTAATATTCATGATTTGGCTTTTTTGCCGCTGAGATACATGTATACTTTCTATATTATTTTTAGGAGAATGACCATTTGATGGTTTGAAAAATAAAGTAAACAATTCGGTTATGTAATAAACGGTTAGATAACTAGGTGCTGATTGTTCTTTGTATAATTTTTATTTATTTAAACGGCGTAACTTTTCGAAATGCGGTAGTAAAAGTAGAGCATGAGCGATTTGCATTTTTAGAGATGCCACCTGTTGGAATAAAATTAAATCAATTAGAAAACAGTACAATCACTATTCGTTTATGAAAGTTTAAGCTGATATTTTTCGGGATGGGTTGCCAGCTGTTTGAAATTTTTAGTTTCATCAGGCAAGCATTACAATCTGATGTTTAGGGGTGGTTACAGTGGAAAATACTGTTATTAAGGGTTGCCATCTTTTTGAAAACTCAAATTACAAGTTCCATAAATACTGGCGCGTTATATGTGAGTACTTACAACACAACATTCACGACATGTTTTCAAATCGAATAAAAGTTTAACTGCTCATAACATGCTTTAGAGGTAATTAGTATTTAACTAGTAATATGTTATTTTTATATATTATTTTTTAATAAAGTTCTTAATTAATGTAGTCATTAAAAAGTTGTAAATTTATGTGTATAATCAGCAACTCAACAAGCATTAACGAGTCTTCTCGGTAAGCATTGCTGGTAATTAAATCATTGCATATTTAGCTCCGGTTATAATAATGAGCGATAAGTTTTAATTATTTTAAAGTGAATTTGGTATAAAAATGAAAATAGATATAAACAAGAAAAAACTTTATCCTAGGCTGTACCGAAGCTTTAATATCATTCACAGGTGCATTTCTTATAATATACAATATAGGAATATCTCTCTTCACGATAGACGACAGTTCGATCTTGACAGCGATCTTATTGGGACAGCTTAATCTTGCAAATGCTGGACAATTGAGGAGAAAGTGCCCAAGAATTTGAAACTTACCGCTGGAACGCCTATTAGCAAATGTCCAGTAAGAATTTTGAAGAAGAAACTATTGCGACAATATGAGCATTGCTAAGGGCAAGTAATTCAGAAGATCTGAATTTTACACAAGACCAAACGTATCTTGCGGTCACGAAAGGTGGTTCATAAATCAGTGCCTGCTGAGAGCGGGTCAGGTTCATTGCTTCAGTATTAGAACGCAAGATGCTAATGGAGTTCCAACGCGGTCACATTACGATGTAAGCGGATCAGGTGTGCCCTCATTAGCCAGCCCGTCGGCTTTGTAGTTGCTAGCGATTCTGCTGTGACCAGGACCCAAACGAGTCTGATGATGAAATAGTTTTGCGCGATGAAGAAAGACACTCCTATACTAGCCTTGAGCGCACAGCTAGTTAGCTAGCGACGCAGTGATTCAGGTTTTTAGGAATGCAGTTGAAGGAGGAGAGAATTTCGGCAAGCCCTTTTTTGGATCCCTTCATGTACCCAAGTTCCTTGAGCGTTAGTGTGCCCACAGAGTGCACACGCCAAATCACAACTTTTGGTAAGAGTCCTCACCTTGTTCCCTATAGCTCCTCTAAAGCAATATAAGGCAATCGATGTCATCCATGTCACCTTTACTTGGATTGACGGCTAAGCAACTTCTACCCGCACAGTTGGATCCCACGTTGAGATATCCTTCGGTTAGCTTTGCTATAATTAGTCTAGTATGAAAAACTGTGACATGATAAATTTCGTTAAGAACGAAATTATTATATTACGTAAATAAGTTTTCCATACAAAGATTTTATTATGATTGTTCAGTTTGTATGTCAATTAAATGCTATAGTGATCCGATTACGGCGATTATGGCAGATATTGAAAATAAGAATTTCTTTCCCAAAAACTAAAGCACATGTTTGCGTATATACAGAGAGACGGACGGACTTGGCTAAATCGACTCAGCTCGTTACGCTGACATTATATATATATGTACTTGGTAAGGTCTCCGTCGTTTCCCTTTAAGTGCTACAAACTTCGTGATGACCTTAACAAATCCTGTTCAGGTTATAAAAATGTATTCAGAATGAATTAAGAAAATTTTGTTATTTTTTTCTTTATTTGACATAACTCATATAAATGTTGATTCGCATGGGATAGATTAGAATTACTCAAATTCTATTGAATAAATTCCATAATTTTATGGGTTGGATCCTTTCAGTGGAACTTTAAGAGTTTACAGATTAGCTTGAGCAGTTATTCAAACGGCGCCAAGTTTTGAAGAAGATCGAGGAAAAAGTCAAGGTCACTCAACAACATACATATATCAGCTCTTGTTAAAGTGCTATACATTGAATTATAATATAGTATATATAATTAAGCTTTCAGAGCCAATTTTGCTTATTGGCTCGATTCCTTATCTTTAAAATTTAGTAAAATTGAGTATCTATGACACTATTATTTAATAGATTGCAATACAATATAATTATTCCAAAGCGAGGAAGTTCGAGTTGTTGCTCTTCTTTTCCACTTGTTTCTACTATGTACTCAACCTAAATCATTTAAACCAGGGTCTACTTTTACATTAATTGCTTACTTGTTTATTAACTGCGTGGTGAGGCTTATTTTAGGTATGACTCATAAATTTTACCCTCTTTTTTAAATTTCTAAAATGGCACTTTTTATCATTTTACTTTAAATTTTTTATCATTTAATTTCATTATTCTCAACTATTAATCATAACTAAACGAATAAGTGCTGACTTTTGATGAAAACGAAATGAGCACTTGTTTGATTAAATAACGTGATTTGCGCATAATGAGAGGATTTTCCGTCTAGTCACCCATTTACACTATAAGTCGACCCTGCAAGAAAGCGTGAACTAGTGGGAAAATAATTTAGTTTAAAACTGTGGTAAATTCGTCTAAATCGAGGCAAAATCAATGTAGGAAAAAATTGGTAAAATGTCAAATCAAAAAAAATATTTTTCAGTAATGTTTTTATGTATGTATATCTAATAAAAAATTTATTGTTACATTTATTCTTTTTCTTTATTCTAACTATTGAACAAGTGGCAACAATTCTAAAATTTTTTTCCCGCAGAAGTGTTTATTAATCCGGTTTTAATTTGAGTTCTTACAAAGCACCACATATATTTTTTCTTTTGAATTAAATAAAGTTTTCAGAAAGGTGGCAACTCTTATTTTTATTCCAAATTTAAATTTCTTTGAAACTCTATAGTATTTTTTATTTCATATTTTTTACATAAAATTCGCAAATACGTGGCAACATTCTTAAATTTTAAATATTCATAAATAAATTTCCTCAAAGAGGAAAATATGTTTTCAAAAATCAAATCGGGCACACCCAAAGCCCACGTGCACTCTATCGATTGTTTCGCTGTTTTTTCATCGACTGTCGAAACGTTTTATTCGCTGCGATGATTGAGTACTGCGGCGAATGTGGATGAAGGGTTGACCTTTTCGAGAAAATGGTAAAGTAAATTCAACTGTTCCACCAATAGTATTGGTGTCTTACTATACTAAAAAAGAATAAGTTTAGAACTTGCATTAGTATTCCTACAGGGCACGCAGAAATACTTGTATTTTGAAATCTTCAAGAAACTAACAAATTGGTATTGAAGTAGTGAAGAACGCCGGCGGCAAAGGATGACCCGCGTTCATTGTGTCAGCAGAGCTTGGGTAACGATTGATGATCGATTGATTTGCTCACGATAAGTGGAGGCAAATTAACGCCAATGTGGGGTACGCGCTTACTATGATACGAACAATACCGACCATTTAGCCAAGCAATAAGTGTTCTGCGAAATTGAGTAAGAGGTGAAAACAAAAGACCTTGTCTAAAAATAAATACCAACCAAGACACTTCAGCATTTAGAATAAGAAAATCGAGAGTTGCAAGCAAATGTTTGTGTCTTATTTTTGGACATGATTACTTCTACTGATGATTTTTTGTTATGCTTTCCTTTCTGTGGTAATATTCTGCAATTATTTGTCTAGCTTGCGCTTTGTCAATATTTCTTTACTCCCAATTTATAGAACGTCATAAGTTCGTTAGCGGAGGAAGCTTCCTCTATAAAACTCAATGGCAATCGACTATTTGGCAACAATTACACAATTGAGTTCTAACAGTGAAGTCTCCGTGAAGCACTAGTACAATGAAAGTGAGTCATCAAATAGACTCTAGATCCGCGTGATATACGTTCAAGGACTAACACTTAATTCTTTTCTACCAGGTTTTCGTCTGCATTTTAGCCTCTTTGGCGGCGGTTAGCGCAGGAGGTGGTTATCTGCCCCGAGGTGGCTTTGGCGGTGGTTACGGCGGCCAGGGTGGCTTTGCAAGCTCTTCCAGTTCCGCCAGCTCGAGTGGGTCTGCGCACTCCTCAGGCGGTGGTTTTGGTGGCGGAGCGGGACCCGGGCGCTATGCCGGCGGCTTTGGTAAAGGCGGTGGAGGTGGCGGTCGCGGCTGGAAAAATGTTGGTGGTGCCTTAGGCGGTGTTGGCGGTTATGGTGGTTATGGTGGCGGCGCATCTTTGGGTGGAGCTGGTGGTTATGGAGGCGGCGCATCTTTGGGTGGAGCAGGTGGTTATGGTGGCGGCAGTGGTTTTGGCGGTGGACGTGGTGGCGGTAGAAAGACTGGTTTGTATGGCACCTCCAGTGTTTCCTTCCATACTGGAAATTCTTTGGGTAGCGGTGGTGCTGGTTCTTATGGCGGCGGCGTTGGTCACGGCAGTGGATTGGGAGTTGGAGCATATGGTCCTAGCCTTGGCGGTGCTGGATATGCTAGCGGTGGCTCTACATATGGTGTCAGTAGCAGCGCTGCTGGTCGCTCTCACGCTGATTGGGGTATACCAGCTAACTTTGACTACTCCGTTAACCATGGCTCGTCCGGTGCTGGTTCAGGGGGATATGGCGGTGGTACTTATGGGGGCGGTGCTGGATGGGGCGGTGTTGGATTGGGCGGCTATGGTGGCGGTGCTGGATTGGGTGGTTATGGTGGCGCTGGCGGTAAATCAGGTTACGGCCACTCCGCTGGTAGTAGTGCTTCAGCTAGCTCATCCAGTTCAGCCGGTTCATCTGGTTGGTGGAAGAATTAGTGCGATGCTATGACCGTGATATATAATAAAAGCTTTCAGTAAATACTCTATGTGTAACTCAGAAAACAAAGAAATAAATAATTGCAACGATATTTCGTTTATCGAAAGGCTAAATCCTTTTTAATTCATCCTTCTAGGAATGCTCTAAGTTTTTTAGGTACCTTTTGGAATGGAATTCAAAACCACTCCTTTCGACCCAATTGGGAATCTAATGATTCAAAATATGCTTCTGTCGCTACTTTTTAACTTCACATTGAAAATATCTGCTAAGAAGTTTTATTTCCCAAAAATAATTTAAATATTTCAAATAAAGTAAAGAAATCAAAGGATAGGGGCACGTTCAAGAGGCGTAAGCTGAACTTGCAGGTCATTCAAAATTAAATTCGCAGGATGCTCAATCCATATGAATTTAGCTCTTTTTTGAAATCAAATACAACAAGGTATCGGAATACATAGGCGATTGAGCAACATTTACAAATTAGTATCTTTCGAGTTGAAATTTACCAAATTGCTTTTGAGAATATGGCCCTTAAAAACTAGAAATTGAACTTCCTTGCTTAATACTATCCGATTATTTTCCTTCCCAGGATTAGTATTTAAAAAGATTTTTCGGCAAACACTTTCGAATTCAACTAGAAATTCTTCAATAGGGTCCCTACAAAAGTAGACCGATTTTGACATTTTTCTTCAATAAGGTTTGCCATTTTATCATGGAAAGAAACACGATCCAATAATAAAATGAAATTACAAAAATTTACTACCCAAATTTCGAGTCAGTGGCCTCACCTTTAAGAGCGCTCCGCCCAATTTATGGTCGTCATAATCGTCCTGCCAGATTTACAATTGAGCGTTTAGAAATTTGAATCCACAGGCACAGTACAAAATGTTTCCGTGCCAGTGAGACAAAGAAGCGCCCGTAGTATAAATAATACAAATTACTGCTGCTAGTGCATCAATTAAGGAAGACCCAAATCGGGTCATTCTCAAGCGTTGAGCATTTCTATAATGTCGTTGTGGCAAATTTTACGAAAATATCTTGTCCTACATCCCGACAAGATCAAATTGCCGCAAGGCCTGAAGCCGCTTGATCACCATAATCGTCGTTTGTTCGTGAAGTGCGCTGAGCAACAACTTAAAAATGATCCGGATTTTCATCGAAAAATCATCTTCAGCGATGAGAGTTATTTCTGGCTGAATGGCTACGACAATATAAAAATGCGTTATTGGTCAGTCATGTGTAAAAATTGCATCCCGAAAAAATTACGGTTTGGTGCGGTTTATGGGCCATACTTTTTCTGAGATGATCAAGATCGGCACGTTACTGTCAATGCGAATTGTTTCCGCTCAGTGATAACCGAATACTTTGGGTTCGAATTAGTTGATATGGACTTAATCAACATGTGGTTCCAATAGGACGACGCCACAAGCCATGCATCGAATGTCACAATCGATTTATTGAATGTGCTATTTCACAAATGGCCCAGTCCATTGGCCGAATCGCTCGTGCGATTTGATGCCGTAAGACTATTTCCTAATGAACTTCGTACGAATATTGAATGTGAAATTGCAGCAGTATCGGGCGACTTATGCTTGAAAACTGTAAACAATTTAGTTCAGCGTCCGGACCTCTGCAAGCGTACCGGTAGTGTACTTTCACAGGAATAAAGAAGATTTTTATTCAAAAACACTTTATATTTATCAACATTCAAGATTAGGCAGAAGTTGCCTGGTTCGGGCGGCAACCTTCAGAAAAAAATAGTACCCCGTAAATTTCAAACTCAATTTCATTGCATTTAAAATTAGGATATAATTTTAAGATAACCATCATTAAGGTGCTTTTTAGAAGTTTAGTAAATGTTTTTCAAAACACTGAACATCAAGCTTTTCTGGACATTCCTTAACCGAGTCTAATCCTTGAGTTTAGCAAATTTTTCAGCACAAAATTGAACAAAACGATCAACTTGCTTATCAAAAAGCTAACAAAAAAACAAACTGTTAGCCTTCAAAAATTAACGCTAGATGTCACTGTCAGCGCTTAAAAGCTCAATTCTCACATTTCAATCGCTTGCAATTGGTCTAAAGGCACTTTACTTTAAGCCACATATGCTTTTATACCAAAATCTACGAAGTGTGCATGTATATATGTGTGGCTTAGTAACTGTTTTTTTTTTTGTTTCATTCAACATCAACTTAAAGACTGGTTTCGCTTTCTTGCAGTCGTGGACGCATCATTTCCATATGCAATGTTGCTTTTTGTAGGGTCAGCGAAGTTCAATGCCGCCGAGTGAAGTCGAAAGTTGAATTCGTAAGTATTACAACAAAGTGCAGCCGAGACCGTGAGTAATGTCAATGCGATTAGCGAGTGACATGTGTTCGTTGGGATTGTTGTGTAGGGCATGGCTATACATATGTATATATGTGTGCGTATTTGTTTGTAATTGTGTGGTATGCAGAATGTACGCAATGCAGTTGTGCATGCGCCAAGCAATTAGCCACGCATTCTTTTGCATTATTGAAAGTGGATTCTGTTCGCGTTTTTAAACAACTTTCGATAATCGCTATTTTGACATTTTACATTGGATTATTGCATAATTTTTTTTTTTTGGTTTATGATGCTTATGGGATATAATACTGCGGTGCAACTTGAAATTTGAAATAAAACGTAAAATATTTGATAATTCATTTATATTTATTTTGTTGCCTTCAAAGTAGTCCCTGATCCAATAATACCTGATATATAATACTTATCCCAACGATTTCTCCAGTCCTCGAAATACATTTCATAAGCGTTTTTTGTGGTGGCCTTCAGCTGCTTCAGCGTTGTATATATCTTCGACTGAAAACGGCTTCCACGGAGCTGAAATTTCAGTTTAGGGAACAAGAAAAAATCAGTCAAATATGGTGAATACGGTGGTTCAACGATGGTATTCATTACGTTTTTGGATTTAAATTCGGTCACAATTTTGTTCCGATGCGTTGGTGAATTCATCGTGTGTTTGCGACGGATATTTTCACGCAAACGCCTCAATACGGCCAAATGTATTACAATGCTCTTTATGAATGTGGGATCGGAATTCGCACTATCAAGTATGTCTAAAGAGACATGTTTACGGTACTCTTTTTGAATAAATTCAGCTTTATTGGGACGAGTCGAGTGAGAACACGAGAGTTGTCGAGCTCTCTTGTTAACTCTCTACTACTTACTTATTTTGTACTTGAAAATCGTCAGGTAAGCAGTAGAGAGTACCTTAATTTTTTTAATATTTTTATGAGCAGTTGAAGCGGTCGAAAGACGTTCAGAATGAGACATGTCTTCAACCATCTCTCGACCGGTTTTGAATCACCGTAAGCCCGCTTCAACGTTCGCAAAGATTCTGCACACGAAATTTATTTGAAAATACAAAATTTGAGACAAACTCTTTGTTCGCTATTTTTATCCATTCCAAAAATCAGAACGCACTACTGAGGTTTACTGGTTGGGAGATAGCGCTAATATTTGGCATAGTAATTAAGCACAGTCCCGTCAGCATTTTTTTTAAATATCACCTACCCCGGGAATTTAATTACGATTTGCGCGTGCTTTTTTGATCCAATGTAATTCTGATAGAGGTATGAGATCGCTTTAATATTACACTTTATGTTTAGTGTGAACATTTTAGTTTAATATGTTAGTGCCCAATGGTCAGGCCGCAGTTGATCCTACCTATAGGCTTTTGTAGAGCTTTTATTACTGAATTGAGTATACAAATTTTAAAAGTAAAAACGAATTACTTTATTAAATTTTAGTAAATTAAACAAAAATAATATTTTATTATGAAAAGTGTGGGAGCGTTGAAAAGATAGCAAAACGCGGTACATACTACGCCCACTTTCGAAATAAATTATACAAAATTGTGTTCAAATATTTATATGAAAGTTGTTACTATACTAGAGTTTTAGTTTCTCATAACTGTTAGGTATTGTTCTTTTATAAGACTTTGCATGGAAATTTTCTTTTCTTCTCTTTTTTCTCTCTCTTCTCTATGTGAGAGAGTGGGATATATATTTTCTTTCTGTGAAATATGGCATCAACTTCATCCGGTTTCGATTGTAATTGGCTATACGATTCAGGGGCATCCACAATGGAGACTTTGGGGTTCAAACAACCCCGTTTTGAGAAAAAGTTGCAAATGATGTATTTCAGTACATTATATTGGGTAAAAAAAAAAAATAAAAAAAAAAAAACATAACAAAAGGCATAACAAACTTCCTAGATGTACAGAAAACAGATGAGCTGAATATTGGAATGTGATCCATTAGAATTGAATGCAGATGCTTTATAGTTAAATCGAACTTTCAAATAATAGGTAATAATAAAAATACTTTCGTAAATGCCAAAATGGCTAAATGAGCGTTTAGTGGACTCAGCGTCAGGCGAAGCAACTATTCGAACGATATTTGTTAAACGAAACATTCTCAAAATATTGTTGGTTGATTGCAATATCAAACTGATGGACCTCTATGGTCACTATAAAAATATTAAATGACGATTTGATATATCGTGTAGAAAAATTTAGGAATGTAAACATTCTGTGCAAAATGGGAGTCACGCAAGATCTCAATCGATCAAGAACCATACTGAATTGATGATTATAAGTAGTTTTGGAGCTTGATAATCGTAGTAAATCCAAATTTTTGGTCGAACGCACGAAATATGGCTACGTCATTTCACTTCGAAGTGCAAGCGATAATCTTCAGAGTTGACTGCATGTGTTGAAACGAATCTAAATGGTACGAAAGATGAAAAAGGTCTGTCGGCATATTTATAGGAAAAGAATAATATTACGAGACCATATTGAAAGAGGAAATCCTACCAACAGTGACTATTCAAAAATATTATTGAAACACTTTTAGGCAGAAATCGCGGAAGCTTGATAGCAAATTTTCATGCGACGGTCTTTGAAATACTTTCGCATAGATCTTATACTCTGCATATGCAGTAACCATTACATCTACGAAAAATGTTGAAACTCAGAGACAACTCATGAGTTAGGTCTCTGATTTATTGAGCAATATATATAGTATAGGTGTCCTGAACCTCTAACACAGGTTAACACTCATTTAATTATCGAACCGTTTTGGTAATTTTTCTCCATTACAAAGTAAAACCAAATATCTTACGCCTATTTTGTAATAATACCTAGTAAATGGAAGAATTACCCACTCGTATAAATACAAAATGCTTTATTTTTCTAAAATATGTCACATATCATTTAAAAATTTTATTAAAAAGTATATTCGTTTAATTAAATTCGTAAAAGTTTTGATCTATTCACTCAACTTCAACACTTAACTACTGGCGACTTTTCACTTTCCCCATGAGCTCGAATGAGCACTGGCAGAGGACTGAGCACTGGCATAAGCACCGCTACCACCGTAACCACCATAGCCACCGGGGCTGCCACCACCACCGCCACAACTATTGCAACTACCGCCGCCACCTGGATGACCGCCATAACCACCACCACCACCACTTGGATAACCACCACTGCCGCCATATCCCCCATTGCCACCGAAGCCACCACTGTTGGCGGAGCTGAAGCTACTCGCACTGCTGGATGCATAAGAGCCGCCGAAACCGCCACCACCACCGCCGCCGTGGCCACCATAGCTCGGTCCAAAGCCACCGCCGCCATAGTTGGGTTTATAACCGCCGCCGCCGCCGCAGCCACCATATCCACAGCCGCCACTACCACCGCCATATCCGCCGCCACCATAACCACCGCTGCTATAGGAGGGTACTTGCTTAACAGCGTACACTTGAATGCTGGGGGCGCCATAGCCGCCGTGACCACCACCGCCACCACCAAATCCACCTCCTCCGTAACCACCACCGCCACCGCCACAGCCGCCGCCGCAACCTCCGCCACCTCCACCGAAGAGCAAAGATTTCTTAAACTCTTTCAGTTTATGTAAAGTGGGCGTGGCATGGCAGATACCCAGCAATAATATACAAATCACTAAACGTTTCATAGCGCGGACGTTTTAATCCCACGAACCAGCGGACGTCTGTAGTCCTTTAACTCGAGCGAAAATTTCTCTTTTTTAAATTTCGCGAAATCCGTGGAAGTTCTATTCCGTTTGTCACCTCTTCTTAACACTTGTCAGTTTTTTTAGCGACTGATTTGCCTGGATGCGAGCTCCAGCACATTTATAGTTAATCATTTGGGAATTTTATTCTAAACATGTGTGAGCTGACAAGTGCCAGCGTGTTTCGCTCAATTTGTCTGTGTTGGGAGTAAGGGATTGGTGGTGGTGGAACAGCTGTCGGAATCGTGAGCTTCTGATTTCAATTCAAAATCAAAACAAAAATATAAATCTAAAAAGAAAACTAAAAACATAAACAAAGTGCGGGTGCCGACATCGCCGTCCCTGTCTCGTACACAGTCAGTGCTCAGCTCACACCGTCATACCGCTCAAACGAAGATACATAGTATGTAGCGCTAGAGCTTCTCATCACCCATACCCTGTTTCGGCTTCGTTGATCTATCGTTCAGTGACGTGGAACGAATTAATGAGTGGTATACCCAAACAAGTGCTGCAGTTGAGCTACCCACTGATCGTAAATCAGATAAGATCCCAGATGCTTTGAGACACTTTTACTGCTGAGAAGTGAATTTTGCAATGACATATTTTTGGAATTACTAATAGTCTACTTATAAAACGTGAAACTATATATTTTATTTGAAGATCTTAGAGATTAAGAGACAAAGGTGGCTCAAAGACGTGCCCAGCTCTACTGGAAATTCCCCTTAGCAAGCATTTTAAATCCACAAATTCATTACATTAGACCTTGGTGATGCGGATTGTGGACCATAATACTCTTTATATACTATATAGGGATTTTTACATATATCTCAGCGCAATGAAGTTTGTCTTGTCTGTTATGCGATCGGTCACCAAGTCCGGTTCAATAAAGATCATATTTCATAAAAATAAAATAAACTCTGGATATACAACCTTAAAATAAATGAAATTGCAAACGTTCCCCATGACACACAGAAACTTCAATTTTAATGGACAATTTTTTTTTTATCATTCGAAAGAACATTCTTTGGCATTTATTTTTAGAAGATTATCTCTTTAAAATGTAGGTCGCGGCTCCGTCCCAGATCAGATCATCAGATGGTCTATTTGTTGGGCTATTTCATGAAGTAGGCTATTTTCATGAAGTAGGACTAAGTTGACAAAAAATCGCGAAGATTACATAAAACTTTGTAGTATTAACAAAGCGTCTTGAGCTTAGTTTACTTTTATCATCAAATCAAAAATAATAGAACATATTTTGACAACAGTGGCCCAAATTACGGGGAAGGATTGTCTGACTATTTTAAAAAGCTTCTAATAAATCAATTTCCTATTACTTTATGGGAGATATGAAATCCACTTATGGCGATATTAAATTCTATAGCATCTCTGGAATATTGTTCTAAATTTTCAAGTTGATCCGGGTAATAGTTTCGCAGCTACAGCCTTGAGAACTTGTGCGCCGTCTTTAAACGCGTTATTCTCGAGACTGTGTTTTTGAAATTGGTTGGCAAAATTTCCCGAGAACTAGTCTACCGATCTTCATGAAATTTTACAGATATCTTTGAGATACAATTCCTAAACACTTGTACGAAAATCTATTTTTTTCGGTTAAAACTATTTTTTCGATTACAACTAAATTCTAATAAAATACTTCATTTTTTGTAGGAGAAAAAAATTTTGAAAATGACTGTTCTTATCCGAGAAAATTCATCATTCTTACTCGAAATCCATGTAACCCTTAATGTCCTTTTTGGCTATTACTATAATATTCGCTAGAAACACTTATATACTTTGGTAAACTGTCTAACTGTTTTAAAATACCGACTATAGCGTATACATCGTAAACTTTGGCATCTATTTGTGAGTATTCCACTATTTAAATTATAATCAAACAATTGCAAGTACAGACAATTAATTCATAGGTGGCTCGCTTGTTCAGTACTCAATTGCGCTGGGACCAATATTAACGCTCATAAAATAATTTCTCCTTGCGTGCTGTCCACTGGGGAATTCCGCCAACAACGTTCTGGCGTCATCGCAGCGCGAACTTCCGCGCATATTCCCATCAGCAGGCTACTGAACTTGATAAAGATCCAGCAGGAAAAATAATGTATAAGTAGTATACGAAGTTTTATATATACCAAACCCACTTAAAATAAATGAAATTGCAAACGTTCCCCACGACACACAGAAACTTCAATTTTAATGGGCAATTTTTTTTTATCATTCGAAAGAAGATTCTTTGGTATTTATTTTTAGAAGACTATCTCTTTAAAATGTAGGTCGCGGCTCCGTCTCAATTTTCAATGATTTTGACGAATGACACGCGTGATGTTTTGCTACAAGACCTACATAAATCGAAGTGGGATGGTCCGCATAGACTTTAGACTTTACATTTCCCCACAGGAAAAAATTGTACTGTGTGATATCACACAATCTTCTTGGCCAATACACCGACAGAAAAATATGAAATTATTTTCCCATCGAAGTGTTCTCTCAATAAATCCATCTGGTTGACGGTCACATCGGCAAAATTTGTGAAGAAATATGGACCAATGATTCCACCGGTCCACAAACCACACTAAACCGTTCTTTTTGATGATGAAATGGCAGCTCTTACGTCTCTTGAGGTTGCGGCAATTTTGCTTGTTTACATACCCATTGAGCCAGAAATGGCCCTCATTGCTGAACAAAATTTGGCTCGAAAACGTCGAAACGTCGTCTTTTAACTTTATAAGTCGAGCGACTTCAGTTCTTGCACGAGCTGTATTTTGTACGCTTTTAATATATATTTCGTTCCATACTTCAGTCCGAGTTGCTGTGAACGGCGCTGATTCGACTCTCCGCGCTCTTCGTTTACACTCTCAGCTACGGCTGTACTTGGTCTATTCGATCGCATATTATGTAATAATGAATGCTGGGCTTCTAGATGAGTGATGGTGATTACATTATCCATAAGTTTTTTCTAACGTAGGGTTGCCATATTTCTGTAAAGTTTAGTATAAATCCTTTAAAAAACTTTCTACGCAATTTTATTCAAGTTGTAGGTAATAAAAAGATTTTTCACTTTTGCTTTAGCATTTTTTTCACATAACCTAAAAATTTATCGCAAAATGTAACCAAGTTTGTGTTCTTTATTGCCATCTTTAAAAAAAAAGGTTTAAGAGGTTTAGATAAACTAATCATTTTTAGTATAGTAGGCTTCATCTTGAATTGAAATTTCAAGTTTTGGACAAAAGTTAAATTCATTTATTTTTAGGTAAATAATTGTTATAACTGAACGTTTCGTGTGGATGCCATCAGAGAGTTTAAACAGTTCGCATATTTCCTACTGGGGTTAATCAATCGAGTGTCTTAGGTAAATGTGTGTGTTTTCCCAAATGGCAGAAATATTTATTTACTTATGTTATATTCATTGAGCTAAATAACTGATATTCTGCAATGTTAACAGATCGCTGCGGTCATTGGCGCTGATATCCGTTTTGCGGTAAAGGCAAAGATAATTTGAGCGGTTTTTCTTCAAGTAATTGAGCATTTATTTCAGTCTGTTATTTATTAAACATGTCAAAGTGGAATGGAAAGTGATGACAAAATTGCCGGTGTATCGTTATTAATAACTTAAAGGTGGATGATATGTCTGCTAAATATCTTAATGACGGTTAATTGTAACTATTTATGTTAGAAACCAGAAATTTAAGCATTAATCAGAATAATATTTAATATTTTTATAATTTGTTTTAAAATCAGCAAAGTTTTCATCCTCATTACTTTTGAGTGTTTAGTTAAGTACTTGCTTTAGGCAACTTCGTGGGGCTTCCCTTGTACCCGGTTTTACCTTACTACGAGTGTATATGTACATACAGCCGTTTTTGTGTTTCAATTAGTGCCTTTCTAAACACAATAACTAGTAATTTTATTCAAAATTGTGTAATTTTTTGTGCTCTCTTGCTTGTAGTAGAAACTATAACTACGTAAGAACGCTTTCAAATTGATCGGAAATAACAGAGATTCTCGATTTCCTATTTAATCACTGAGCAAATTTAATGTTATTACCTAAAGAAGTTGGTGAGGATGAGCAGAGTTTCCTTTGTGTGTGTAGGTGTATGCTGTACTTTTAGTATCTATTTAATTATATATTTACTTTAATGACTTAACGCTTATCTAATTCTAATTTAGTATAGACAATGCAACAATAATTAATATATAAATATATGTAGAAATTTACAATATTTATATTTTTTCACATATAATATATATTATATAATTTATGCCGTATTTTAGAAGCTAATTATAAGCAACATGTTGTTGTTTATTAGGAAATCGGTTTTTTTGCTATTGTTATTTAACAATATTAATCGAATTTTTAAATATTTCAATTTTCTTTTTTGTAGTTTATGGACAGTTTTAGAATCTATACAATACATTGACCTTCGTTTTTACCCGGAAATAGTCACAAGAAAAAAAGCCGTTTATTCGGGTGAGCAGGCGCCATTTTAAGTTCCGCAGCTCTTAAATAAAGCACCAGGGAAGATATCGAAAGAGAACTTAGTGTACTATATATGGTATATACTCTTTCTTACAGCAGCTTTCTTCCGAAAATAGAAATATTCTTTCTTATAGCAGTCAAAATACCATAACTTTCCAAGCTTCCAAGCAAGGCTGACATTAATAACAAAAATATTTTCTTCCTATGTGCTTTCTGGTAACACAAATCTATAAAATCAGTTGAAACCTTCATATATAATAATTTATCGATATATAGGTATCTTAACCAAAGAAAGTCGGCTTTCTTTACTGATAATAAAATCGTCTGTATAAAATGGATTTAGACCTTCTGTTAACCACTTATTATACTCTCGCAACAAAGTTGCTAAAGAGAGTATTATAGTTTTGTTCACATAACGGTTGTTTGAAAGTCCTAAAACTAAAACAGTTAGATGTGGATGGATGTCTGTCTCTCCGTCCGTCCGTGCAAGCTGTTACTTGAGTAAAAATTGAGATATCATGATGAAACTTGGTACACGTATTTCTTGGCTCCATAGGAAGGCTAAGTACTACATGTACGGAGTGGCATATTTGGACGTAATTTTTTTGGAACATAT